GTCCAGGATCGGTGCTTTGCCGAAGACTGCCTCGTAGGGCGAGGTATTGATGGCTGCGTGTGGCGTTACGTTGTGCAGGCGTGTCGCCGCGTCTACCATGAGGTCCATGTCTCGGATTCCTTCTTGCCAGAGCGCTTTGAGCACGTTCTGGAGCTCTTGGTGGGATGCCTCGTTAATCCCGTTCCTTGAGGTCGGTACGGCGCTGCGGTCAGGTGTTTGCATCCGAGCTGGTACGTCGTGCTGACATGGAATGCTCCCTTGAAGCTTGTGCCGTTGTCCGTCAGTACTATGCGCGGGGGTCCGAAGGGAACTACCCAATGCCTGTAGAAGGTGCTGAACGTCTGGACTGCTGCCAGCGTGGGGACGACCTTCGCCATCATGTATCTCGTGGCATGGTCGATGATGACTAGGATGTTCCACCCGATTCCTCCCATGTGTATTGGTCCTACGTGGTCGAGTGAGACGACGTCCATGGCTGCCGCCTTTCCTAGGGTACCTGTCGGCAGGCCTTGTTGGTGAGCTGGTGGTGTCTTCAGCCTTCTGCAAATCAGACACTCGCGGATCATCCTCTCTATATCCTGTGCACAGCCGGGCCAGTAGTATAGCGCTTGGACCCTCTTCCTCGTTTTGCCGACTCCTAGGTGGCCGCTGGGTCCGTAGTGGAACGCGATGACTATGCGTGTCCGCAGCTGGCGGGGAACGTAGATCTTCTGCGTCCGTAGATGGATCCACCACAGGCCATCGTAGTGGAGTCCGGGTAGGTCTGGTTTCCCCTCCTCGGCATAGGCTCGCACGAAGTCTTCCTTCGTCGGAGGTTGCGGCAGATTGAGCATGGGTGCTCTCACTGCTGCGACTTGTAAGGACATTCTGTCCAAGAGTTCATCCTCTTCTCTGTCGTCGCCTGCGTACCTGCTGAGCCAGTCCGCTATGTTATTTGTTTCGCCGGATATAAACTCGATAGTGAAGTCGTAGTTGCTCAGCGCGAGTGCCCATCGGAAGACCTTACCCTTGTCGACGTTTGTGAGGTAGCGCAGATTGTTGTGGTCCGTCCTGACAGTGAAGTGAGCGAGGCCGACGTAGTCTCGCCATTTCTCCACGGCCCACTTGACCGCAAACAACTCCCGTTCTCTCGTATCCCAGCGCGACTCGGTTGGATTGAACTTCTTACTGGCAAACTCAATCGGTACTTCCGTGCCTTCTTGTACCTGCTTCAGGACGGCTCCTACTCCCAGCTCGGAGGCGTCTGTCTCGATTACGTACTCTCCACTGGGGGTGGGTGCGTACAGCGTGACCGTCTGTCGGACCGCCCGTCGCAGCTGGTTATAGGCATCTTCATGCGCTCCCTGCCAACGAAAGGCGGAGTCCTTCTT